TTGCACCTAGGCTAGTACAGTCCTCTGGGCGCCTACCTAGGCGGGGAATAGGTGGGCACCTATGGAAAACTCGCCTAGTTGGTCCACCCAGGACTGAGTAATGCGCCCAGGCCCCCCCTTGGTGGCCACCTAGGCGCCCGCCCAATATTCAGCCCCATCAAGCAACGTTGGTCTCACAAATGTCCTATAGAACTTCTCCTTCAGCTTCATTGGTATGCAGTGATCACAAAAATTCCAATTGCACATCTCCAATTCACCCACCCAGCTCCAATTCTGTGTACGACATCTTCCTCAATCTCTCCATTTTCCTGAAAAATCAACCTAAGATATAGAAAGTGTGCTCTTGTTTGTATTTCTTGGCCGTCAATCTCAACTACTTCCTCGTCTCTACTCTTATTATTACTAAATTTGCATTGCATAAACTTTGTCGTAGTTCGGCTAATTTACAACCTTTAGATTCCAGAGCATCCCTCAAAAGTTCTAACGTTGTGTTGACACCGCTTCAGGTCTCATCGATCAAAATTATGTCATTCGTGAACAACATACACCATGGCACATCATCTTGTGCGTGCCGGGTTAAGAAAAAGAGGTATAATCTCAACACTGACCATTGATGTAAATCTATTGTCACTGAAAACTCACTCGTCTCTCCACTAATTGTTTGTACACAAGTTAGCGTTCCCTCGTACATATCTCTCACCAAGTCAATATAATATCTGGAGACTCCTTTCTTTTTCAACACCCACAAATTAAATCTCGATGTACTCTATCATATGCTTTCTCTAAATCAATAAAGACCATGTAGAAGTCGTTTCTTTTCGCCCTAAACTTCTCAATCAATTGATTAAGTAGGAAAATAGCCTCAATAATTGACCACCTTGGCATAAAACTGAATTGATTTTTTGATACACTCGTTTCATGCCTTGGTTGTAGCTCAATCACTCCCGTACAACTTCATAATGTAGCTTATTAGTTTGATCCATCAATAGTTTGCACAATTCTACGTCTCCCAGTGTTCAAAAAGCAAACAGCCAAGCGCCTAAGCGGCTAAAAGGCCTGGGCGCATTGCTCAGGCCTAGGCGGTCAAATTGGGCGGCAGCCGCCTAGGGCCTGCACCCTGCCTATGGGCAAAACCTTTTTTTTTTTTCGTTTCTATTGATTTTTTTTAAATAGAAAAGGTTTCAAATGATAGGTTTTAGGTTCATTTGAAACCTAAACCCACAAGAACCCATTTTAAAGATAAAGAAACCTCAAGAAAACATCATTTTCTGACTTTCATTGGATCGAAGTGTTTCTCAAAGTTACGAAAAACGGATCCAAACATTACCCAGGTAGATTTGATTTAGTTTTGGAGTTTTATAATCCTATTAGAGGGTGTTTTTTATTATTTTAGCTCCAGAAAACATCTCATAGGTGGGAGTTTGAAGTTCGAGCAATCAAAGTAAGTGCAAAATTTTATTTTTTAGATTGCTTATTTTATTTTGAGATGTCTTTTTCAAGATCTAGTCGAAGTGGAGATCCAGGTTGAAAATATGGATATAACCCGAATCCAAATGATTAAAATTGCATTACATGCAATTTTATTGAAAAAGATACAAAAGGGGGCATAAACCGGTGTAAGAAACATCTTGCCGGTATTAACGGGAATGTTGCCCCTTGTAAAAATGTTCCTGAAACTATTAGAGAGGAGATTAAGCAATATATGAGTTTTGTAAAACGAAAACAGGAACAAAATCCTTGTCATTTGAATAGATCTATTTCTACTACTTCTAGAAGAAGTGATCTGGGTTGGAAGTATGGTTATAACCCAAAACCAAATCATAAAAATTGTATAAGGTGTAATTTTATGAAAAAGATACCAATGGGGGTATTAACCGATTCAAGAAACACCTTGCTGGTATTACCAGGAATGTTGCTTCTTGTAAAAAGGTTCCTGAAACTATTCGGGATGAGATTAGACAACTTCTGAATTTTAAAAAACCCAAAAATGATGAAAATGAGCCTTGTTCTATGGAAATATCTTCTCCAGGTTCTTCTAGAAGTGGTGATCCGGGTTGGACGTATGGTTATAACCCAAATCCGAATGACAAAAATCGTATTAAATGTAATTATTGTGGAAAGGATACTAATGTGGGCATTTACCGGTTTAAAAACCACCTTGCCAATATTAAGGGGGATGTTGCCCCGTGTAAAAATGTTCTTGACGGTACCAGGGATGAAATTATACAATATTTGAGTTCAGGGAAGCACAAAAAGATAGAAAATGGTAGAGTAGTCAAGACTCCTAAGGCTTCATCTGCACATACTAGTAAGAGGAAGGTAGAAGAAGAGAAGGAGGAAGAGGTATATTCAAAAGAAACAGAGGAGGACGAGCGTTATATTGAAGAGGGAGAAGACTCTGATGATGATGGCCTTGATTCTTATGCGTATGATGAAGCTTACCTTATTCCTTCTTATGATGATGATGATGACTGAAGACTCTTGGTGTTGAGTGTTGACTGTTGTGTCGAGTGTTGAGTGTTGACTAATGTGTCATAGTCTCATAGACTGTATATTTTCTGAATTTCTATATATTCTCTTTCTTATTTTTCATTTTTACTTTCTAGTTTCTAGTTCTACTATCTAATTTTTGTGTGTACAGTCTACAGTATATCAGACTATCAGTGTATGCTTGTATGGTTTTATTGTTTTAGCATTGTATGAAAATATGGATTATCAAAACTTCAAAATTCTCTTCTCGACTTCTATCTTCTTTTTTTTAACTATGATCATGGTCTTATGGATTACTCATTATTAGTCATCAGAGTTTTTTTTTTTTATCTGGGCCTCAGCCCTCAGCTTATTTTTTTTTGTTTCAACTAGGCTACCCAGGTTTTGGGAGCTCGTCTGGGCCTCAGCCCTCAGCTTTTCTTTCTTTTTTTCAACAAGGCCACCCAGGTTTTGGGCGCCCGCCTAGGCGGACGCCTAGGAGCTGGGCGGCCTGGACCCCCATGGCCGCCTCGGTGCTACCTAGCACTTTTTGAAACACTTATGTCTCCTTTGTTCTTGTAAATAGGTACTACAATATTTTTCCTACATTCGTTTGGTATTTTCTTTGTTCTCAACGCCTTGTTGAACAGCTTGGTCAGTCAATAAATGCCAATCTCCCCCATGAACTTCCAAATCGGTATACCATCAGGTCCTAAAGTCTTTCATATCTTCATCCTCTTCAAAGCTTCATTCACTTCTGATAATTTAATCTTACGAATGTATATATGACCTCCGTCCTCATTTATACCAATGGTTCCTTCTACCATTGTGTTCCCATTGTGTTTGTTATTTAATAATATTTGAATCTAAACTCTCTACCTTTCATTGACCTCTTTATCCTTCACCAAGACCCTTTGATCCTCACTCTTAATGCATTTAACATGTCTACATCCCTACACTTTTTCTCTCTCATTCTTGCTAATTTGAAGACATCTTTTTTACCTTTTCTTGTTCCCAGTTTATTGTATAGATTATCATATGCCTTAGCCTTAGTTAATATTTGTTTAACGTTTTCTTAGCATTTTTATATTCTTTTGAGCTTTGATCATTTTTATTATATTGTCAAGTTGTGCAACATGATTGTTTTTTGCTAATAGCTTTCCGAACCTCATCACTCCACCACCAAGTTTGGGTCTTTGTGTTTTCTGTCATTTTCCCATAGAAAGTCCCTTTGGAGTCTCTCTAGTATATTTATTGTGGTAGAAGGCAACTTGTCGAGACTGGGCTAAGTCAAAGACAAAGGTGGGTCTCCCGGGGTACAATAAAATTTTGAGTTTTATGCATTTAATGGAGATGGGTTTCTCAATGAGGTTTTGAAGAAGGTTTGGAGTTAGTTAACCTTGGGATATATGGATAGAATTAGGACTTGAGATATTTGCAAATCTAGTAGTCACTAGGTTTCTTGCTTGAACTTACGATCATTCTCTTAAGATTTGGCAAATGATCATTTTGACAAAGGTGGGTCTCCCAGGATACAATAGAATTTTGAGTTTTCAACATTTAATGGAGATGGGTTTCTCAATGAGGGATTTGAAGAAGTTTTGGGGTTAGTCAGCCTTGGGATATATGGATAGAATTGGGAGTTAGGATATCTGCAAATGCTAGTAGTCACTAGGTTGCTCAATGCTTGAACTTCCGATCATTCTCTTAAGCTCTGGCAAATGATCATTGTGTCCATTATGTACGGATTTTTTTTTTTTTTTTTTGTATCTGCTTATGAATTTGTAATAAGAAGAAAGCGAGCTTCCCAAGCCAATGATTCATTGTTAATGTAGTCAAAGATCTCAAAGAAAAATGCATGTGATGACACCAAAATATGCCACAAAAATGTTCAAATCATGCATCAGAACTACCGTAGTAGTTTGCGCATAGATAAAAGGTGACATCTCACATTATTATTTATAAGAGAATTTAAAAGCCCAAGCTCACTCGGAAAGCATCTTTTTTTTGCTGTCAACAATCATCATGTACGAAAATATTAAACAGCAACTTGAACAGTAAGCAGCAAAAGTACACCAATCACAACAAGATAGGCAAAAGAGCAACTTTTGGGAAGCCCAACCTCACCCAGAAAGCATCTTTTCTTTGCTGTCAACAATCATAATGCACAAAAATATTAACCACCAACTTGAACAGTAAGCAGCAAAAGTACACCACTCACAACAGAATAGGTAAAAGAACAACTTTTGGGAATACCACCTATCAGTAAAGGAATAAAAGGGTCCTATGCATTTCTTAGAACCCCAAGACATTGTCTAGACTCTAGAGAACCATAAGCTACAGCTTATTCTAAATCAGGTATAAAACGTAGAGATAGTTAGGAATGAGAATATTCAATCCTTCACAAGATAAGAAAAAAGAAAAAGAGCATCAATAGATTAAGAAAGGAGTAACAAAAGAAAAAACTAACTAAAATTACCAAAAAAGAGTAAAATGCCTTAAAAAAAAGTAAAGATTCTCAATATACTCACATTCTGATGGGATACTAGCTACAAAATCCAAAGACGAAAATAGCGGTAAGGAGTATTCCTGTATAGCAATATTGTCCAAACAATTAGTGCCTCTAGAAGATAAGACTAACATAGCATAATTTAAACACTTTATATCATTGTTAACTGAGTTCTATATCTCCTGCATTATTTAACCAAGAAAGATCCCTTAAATGATACAAGATCTTCATTTTTCAACCAAATGAGGAAAGCAACATGATGATATTTATCAAGTAATTTCTATCATATCAACCGTGATTAATTTTTCACTCCAACACAAGCCCAGCATATTCCTTAAAAAGAAAAATTCTTAACCAAGGTAAATAAATATAAAAGAACATAATCAGTGGAAGATTAGTAGTAACATATAATTGCACTTATTGAGGCCACAATTGAACAAGGCCATGGCTCTTACCTATATTATCAATGAAGAAATAATGCCCTGAATGTTTAAGGCATTGCACGTACATCATATATTGGACAGGTTTTAATAACCATAAGAACAACTGACCAAGTAACACAATTCTTTCTCATGTCCTTTATTGTCCAAAAAAAAGCACCTAATTTTAACTGTTTAATCAAAACTCCCTAATTCACCAAACAGATTTTTGACAAAGGACTGATTATGAAGCTGAAACTCTCAAATGGAGCCGGAAATGCTTACGCCGACAATCGAGTTACATACATCTCATATTGCTAATTAGGTTCCAGTGGTTCTTGAGCTGCATACCCATACAACTGGTCATCTCTTTAAAAATTTCCCAAAAGACTATATCAATCCATTATTCTCAAATGATGAGAACAAAGGAATAGTGCCCTAATACACAAGGAAATCAAGAGAAATAGACCATCTAATGATCAAATACTGATACAGAAAAAAGATGTTACCAATGCACTAAACCGAATAATGCCCCATTAGCAACAAATTCAAATCCATAAAAGATAGATTGATCTCGATTAGAAGGAAAGTTCTAGGGCAATCGAGTGTGAGATAGTAAAACTGTTACCTCAATTGATCTGGCGTGGGCGGCTTGTGACTAAAGAGCAACACAGGGTAAGAGACAGAGAAAAAGAGAGGGTAAGAGACAGAGAGAAAAGGAGAGGGAATAGAAAAGAGGCATCCGCGGACTCAACCCCAAGCAGCTTTAAAACGAGGAAAAACTGGAACTGTATATAAGTATTGTATAGTCCCCTCTCTGTTATGGGTGTGGTTTGTATAAGGTTGCACCTTACACAATCCCCAAATTTTATTATATCTTATAATTTGTGTGTCAATAATTCTTAGGAGGGCCTTATAATTCATTTTTATCTTTAATTATAAAATTTTAAACTTTAAAAATAGTTTAAAATTTCAAATCAAATAGACCTATAAACACATGAAAATCTTTAAAATAAACGGTCTAGATAATATATTGCAAAATATATTATTTTTTAGATTCGAAATTTTTACTTTTCACATAATCATACTTGATGTCAAGGTGGCCAGTTAGAGGGTTTTCCAACATCAAAACAATATTTTTCAATTGAGTTTTGAAGTGCACTCTAATTCTACATGTTGCCACCTTATATAAACTTTTTCCTTCTTTTATTAATGGGGGTGGGTTATATAGAGTTGAGGCTCTAAACAATCAAAATAAAGAGCACATTCAAATAATGTTGATAAATGCGGTTTCAATATCGAAAATATTTGTAATATCTTTAAAATATATCTTCATATTAAACTATAAAATTTAAAGCTTCAAAAATAGTGCAGATCAAGCAGATCTATGAGAACATGAAAATCTTAAAAATTGACGATCCAAAAATGTGTTACAAGATGCACTATTTCTAAAATTTGAAATCCAATTTTTTTATATCCATGCATCTTGATGTCAAGATGATCAATTTGAAGATGTTTGGGCATCAAAACAAAACCTATTCTTGTGAAATTTTTGAGGTGCTTGTTTAGAGCATCAGCTCTATATAAACTTTTCCTTTATGAATATGCAGTTTCTATAAGGCCTAAGCTTTATAAAAACAAAGTAAAACCCGACCTCGAATCATTGTTCGGAAAGCACTTTGGGCATAAAATATCGTCATGACGGCTCTAAACTCAATTTTCAATATTGATTGTGGAATTTAAAGCTAAAAAATTTTACAGATCTTATAGATCTGCGAGCATTTGTTTTTAGAATAAAATGGATGGTCCAGATAATTTACTACAATATACATTAGTTTTAAAGCTCGAAATCCTAAATTTTCATGACTACAATGGTCAAAGCCAAGATGATCAACATGAAGAATTTTCAACATAAAAGTACAATTGTCTATGAGTTTTGAGCTGACGCTTTACTTATTTTTATAGTGATGCGGCCCCTATCAAAATATATTTCTAAAGATAAAGAGCATGTTCTCTTTTTCCTATTTGATGGCCAAAGGGAGGGCACAGAACGCTCTCTCTTACACGTTTAGCATAGTGATAATATTAGACTCATTTCCACGCTGCTTGTGATGATGACGGAAGGTGGCGATTGGCCAACATTGTACAATAGTACCTATATGTACGGAGGAGATTGCCCTAAACAACCGGTGCTACTCGGATATCCATTGTATTATAGGTGATGTTTGTACAAGGTGCCCACTTTATACCGTACAAGTAAAGCATAATTCCAAATTTTGTAAGGAGATATAGTTTGTGTTAGAGGCTTGAAGATCCACATTCGATTGCGAAATTTAAAATTTAAAATTTAAAAAATGATGCAGATCGAACAAATCTTAAAGTTTGTGAAATTTAAAATTTAAAATTTAAAAAATGATGCAGATCGAACAAATCCTAAAGTTTGTTTGGTAATTAAGAAAATTGTTTTCCTCCAGAATCTTTAAAAAACTGTGAGCCTGAGGAAAGTTAGCAGTAGAAATCAGTGACTGGAAACTAAAAACCCTCATTTGGTAAACTGTCTATAAAAACAGAAGAAATCACCAGCTAAAAATTTTACATGTTTCTTAACATAGATAGAAACCCACTGATTTAGTCAATAATTATGAATCTCGTTGTTAAGAGGCTAAAACTTAGCTTTTGATTGAAATTTCTCAATTATACTATCCATGTCATTACTTACATAATGAATGGTTGAGATTGTAAATCTTGTTAAAAGTTTTCTCCTCCTCCTTTGATCGATGAAGTTTTCTCCCTCTCCCCCTTTAATCAAACTATCTATTATTAATTTTCAGTGCTCCCCACCTTTCAATATTAATCCATTAAAAGTGCAAAAGTACCCATATGAGAAGCTTACAAAAGTTAAATCTTGAAATTGCATGCACATAAATAAGCACCTGATCACCATTCATAAATATCATAAACTATTTGTAGATCGACGACAATATATACTATTACCAAACTCCATTGAGCAATTGACCTCATAATTCTAGATTTTAGAGCTTCAACACCATCCACAATACTCTCAAAGGCCATATTGTTGCATTTTTCTCAAATATGTCAAACTACAACACCCATTAATGCTTGCCATGGGGCATTGCCAATTTTATCGGAGGGAGTGCCAAACCCTAGTCATCATGTTGCGATTTTCATTTCCACCGACACCACTCTAATAACACTTTTAAACAAACTAATTGAAAAAACAAGTAGGGCATGCATTCTCTACTAAATTACCCAAAAAAAAGAGAGTGAATAACTACTTATTGAATAATTGAGAATTTGTCCTCAACAACATCCATTGTATACTTGTTTTTTGTATCATCCAACTCCAAATTTATTTTGCTACGAAATAATAAGAAAATGTGGTCTATGAATTTTCAAGAAAAATAGAAAAAAAAAGAAAAAGAAAAAAGGAAAAAGTGGTATATATCTTCCTCATCCTTTTTAAGCATTAACATGGTATATATCTTCCTAATGCCACAAAATTTCACTCTCTTTTTGCTGCCCCTTAAAGTCCAATCATTATTGGCCGGCGGGGATAGGTCGTGGTGGTGGCACACACCATACCTCAGTTGTATATTGTGGTATCTATTCCTACTTACCACTTCAAAAACCACAAACTAATTAAAAAATAGGTAGAAGCATGTCTTTCCACTGAATTACCAACAAAAAAAAAAAAGCTAAATATTGACAAGCGACAAATGGTTTATCAAGTATAAAATCTCATGTTCTACCATGATACTATAAACAGGCGTTTTTTTGGTTCCTGTAGGCTTGACACATTTATGAGAGGCACATGAGTGTAATCAAATTATGTTAAATGGGATGATTTGTGAAGTGGCTTGATCTCTTAATTCATATTGAGAAAATATCACATATTATGAAGAGTGTGGTTTCTATAAGGTTGCAACCTTAAACAATCCAATTAAGGCGCATCTCTTAATTTTATTATAATATGTAACTTTGGTATAAAAGGATTCTTAAGATTATTTGAAAATCTATTTTCATATCTAATTATAAAATTTTAAACTTCAAAAATAGTTAAAATCAAGTAGATCTATAAACATATGAAAATCTTGAAAATGGACGGTCTAGATAATGTGTTGCAAGATGCACAATTTCTAGGACTCAAAATCTTTGTTTTTTTTTCATATTCATACATCTTGATGTCGAGATGATCAATTAGAGGGTTTTTCAACATTAAAACAATCTTTTTTGATGATTTTTGAGGTGCATATTTAATTCTACATTTGAAGGTTGCAGCCTTAGATAAACTTTTTCCTATTATGAAATCGTTAAAGAGCTAAAAGAGGTTATTTATAAACGCTAGGGTGTACTTAAATTTCATGTTATTAAAAAAGAGTACGTCCTCAAAAAGTTCTTCCAAAGTTCCCATATTACCATTATTCATGGTTGAAAACCCTAAAAAATTATTAGTATTTGTTACGTTTGGATTTTTTATATTGTGTCAAATTCATCATCATCATTATCATCATTTGACCCGTACCCCAATTATTTGGGTTCCGCTATATAAATCTTGCTTCACCATTCTACTCCATCAATGATCATACACTCAATCGGGCAATAAGTCACCATATTCCTTCTTACTACTCTCATCCTTATCATTTTAGGCTTTCTCCTTGCCTTTTTAGAGCCTTCCATTTGAACCAAAATATACAACTTAACCAGTGTTCTATAAGTCTACACTGCACATGGTGAGTCTATCTAAGTCTACTTTTCCTCATCTTATCGCTTATTAGAGTCACCCCTAAGTTCGGTTGTATGTATTCTTTCTTAATTCTATCATTTATTATCTTGCCACTCTTCCATCTTAACACCTCCATCTCAACTACACTTATCCTATTGAGATGTTGTTCCTTGACCGCCCAAGATTTTATCATATAAAGCATAGCTCGTCTCACAGTTGTGCTATAAAACTTATCTTTTAGTTTCATTTGTATACGACGATCACATAAAATTCTGGTTGTGCATCTCCACTTTGCCCACCAACTATAATTTTGTGTGCAAGATCTTCATCATTCTCTCAATTATCATGGATTATAGACTCAAAATATTGAAAATAATATCTTTTAGTTATTAGTACTAAACTTGCATTCCATATATCATGTATTAGTCAGGCTAATTTTTAAACCTTTAGATTCTAGAGCATTCCTCTAAAGTTCTAACTTTGCGTTGACACCACCTATTGTCTCATCAATCAAAACTATATCATCCTGTGAACACCATGTACCGTGGTATTAAATTAAATTGTGAAAATACATATTTAGGGTCACAAACACGAAACAATCAAATGACAAAAATACTCATAGTTTTGTGTTGCTAGCCATGAGTAATTAAGGCTATTTTGGTCATTCAACAATCCTATTTGTAGTCCTAAGCAGTCGTGGGTATTTTTAAATTTGATTCTAGCCGCTTAAGTAAGCCAAAGTACAAAAATGTCTGTTCTTCAGAGTTGCCAGCCCCTAAAAGGATAATTAAGACATTTTTGAACAACTTATTTACCAAGGTACTATTACTATGGAATTTAAAAAGTAACACTGAAATCTTGAGTCTGATTCTAAAGGAAATCAAACTCATGCCCCCCTTAATATATGTTATTATACAAATCTCCCAATTTTATTGTATTTTATGCTCATACCCTTTTTTATTTTTTATTTCTTAAAATGCCCCACTTCGCCTTTATAGCTTAAAGTGACAACGAAAACGTCCAAAGTCAAGAAAATACTTGCACTTTGGACCATGTCTAAATTTCAAGTAAGTGCACTTTGGATAAAGTCCGAAGTCAATGGACTTGTATTAATGTAAAAGAATAACAAAAATTCTATGGCTAGAGTCTCTTTCATGCGTTGAGTGCATTTTGGATTTTGAAGTTCTACTTTTAGATCTTGAAGTTTCGAAGTGTTTCGAACTAAATATTTTGTTGACTTCATACCTTAAAAGTGTGAAGTCAATAATTTTGTAATTGCCATTTCACAAAAATTAAAAGCCAAAGATAAAAACTAAATATAACTAAAAGACGCAAAACATAAAGGAAAATTTTATAATAATGAATGTTTAGAGGGACATGTGCATCAATTCATTGTAATTCTACCCATAAAGAAAAAAGTTTATATGAGGTTGATATTTTATATTATAAAAAGGGAAAGACGAACCTTTTTGATGTTATCAAACCACATAGCTTATTATCTCAAACATTGATATATATATATATATATATATATATATATATATATATAGAAAACACTACGCAACGCCTATAGGCGAAAATGAACAATGATCCATCACCGTCTAAAGTTCATCGCGCAGTCATAATTGTCTGGTAGTGTTTTATTTTTTTAATTTTTTTTTATAAATCAGAATGACTTGAAATTTAGAAAATTTATTTATCAAAAATAGGGGAATCTTTTAAAAATATTAAAAAATATATTTTATATGAAAATAATTGACTAAAATACCCCTGAAATATTTTGGGGGTATTTTGGTCAATTTATTTTCATGGATAATTTTATTTTATATTTTTATTAGATGCTCCTCATTAAGATGTACATATCTTCCAAATTTCAGGTCATTCTGATTTATAAAAATAAAATTAAAAATAAAACACTAATAGACAATCATGATTGTACGATGAAACTTGGACGGTGATAAAGGTAGGAAAAATCACTATTTATTTTCGCATGTAGGCATTAGGAAGACTTTTCCTATATATATATATAATGATTTTAAGTTCCACAAATAGTACATCTTGCAATATATTATCTAGACCGTCAATTTTCAAGATTTTCATGCGTTGATAGATTTGCTTGATTTGAACCCTTTTCAAAGTTTAAAATTTTATAATTAGAAATGAAAATAGATTATCAAGAACTATGACACTAAAATTGCATCTTATGACAAAGTTTTGGAAGTGTGTCATACTTTGATCGTTTAAAGTTGTGGCCTACAAACTACATCCATAAATAAAATAATTTCCACCCTCTAATGATATTTTACTGTTGAGATTACGCACACAGACATGGCCCTAAAGAAAAGTAGGGCCTAAGCCACAAACTGTGGCTCGAGCGCCAAGCTAGGGCCAATGCCAACCCAATTCAACCCGTCTTAGTGTCATTTTTTTTCTTTTTCTTTTTATATTTTTATTATTTATTTATGGGCGGCCCTAATTAGGCTATGGCTGGGATTGGGCTGGCTTATAGGAGCAAGACTACCCTAGTGATCCTAGCCCAGCCCGTTGCACCCTCACTCAAGACTTTTTTTTTTTTAGAGATATCCTTAAATCAGTTAGGAAGTGTATTAGAAGAAAGGGCCCTAATTCTACAGAGAATGTAGGACAGTTCCATTTCTTCTAATATGATATGTCCTAAAAATGAGAATGTGCCATACAATCTCCTATAATATATATGACTATTGTTCGCAAAATCGTCCGATCTAACCACTAACTACCCGATTAGATCAAAATCGGCCACTGGCCGGTTCCGGTTTTGAGCGGTTAGGGTGATCAACAGGTATTTTTAAAAAAAAATAAAAAAATATATATATAAATTCTTAAAAATAAGGAATTTTATTTGTAATGCATTTTTAAATATTCTTTACATTATGGTAAAGATTAAAAATTGGTTTATTCATTAATACTTACTTTTATATTTTCCCATCACTTTTCAGGATTCCAGTAATTGATAAGTTGAAAGATTTGGGAATTGCCCTTATGGGAAAAATTAAGTATGGTAGTGTCCGTGAAGGTGACAACTTATTGGTGATGTCTAACAGGGTGTGTTGTCTTTCTACATTGTTTTCTCTTTGGTCTTTATTTCCAGTTGTCTGAAAATTTTCTCTTGTTATCTTTTTTGTAAAATTAACTTGTTGGCCTGTTTATCTATAGGCTGGTGTGAAAGTGTTGGCGGTTTATTGTGATGAAAATAAAGTACAATGTGCTGGGCCTGATGAAAATGTTCGCGTTAGATTATCAGGAATTGAGGAAGAGGATATATCTGTGGGTTTTGTCCTTTCAAGTATGGGTATGTCTTAGACCATCTTTATATATTTTTCAAAAGCTATGAGGTTGCTTTCATTTCTTATTATCAATGGAAAAAGAAAAGGACAGGAATGGAAAAAAAGGAAAAATGTGTTGAGGATTGATATCTTGTATACTGAAAAAATATATGTCAAAGGTGGAGTCAAAAAGACGACTTCGAAGGTATTTTGGTAATTTGTACCATCTACCTGGGACTCTATATATTGGATGGGAGTTCTTTTTTTAAGGTTAAGGAATACAAAGATTTCTTTGTAATAGGAAACAGAGAGAGATGTGAGGCAGAGGACCATTGTAACCCTTCTCTCAATTGCTACTATAGAAGCTCTCATCTCCTCGTGGACGTAGGCAGTTGTCAAACCATGTATATCTTTACGTTGTGGTTGGTTCTCTCTCTTTTTTGTATTTGTTTCTTCTTTTTTGTTTCGTGGATTGCTTTAGGGTTTTCTACAAAATGCTCATTTGTGTACCTTCTCTCTTTATATAAATTTAAGGAAAAGTTTGTATAAAGTTACAACCTTAAAATGTAGAATTACATATGCGCCTCAAAAATCCATTGGAAAATGTTGTTTTAACGTTGAAAAACCCTCTAATTGATCATTTCGATATCAAAATGTATAAATATGAAAAAAAAAAAAAAAAAAAAAAATTTAGAGTACCAAAACTAGTGCATCTTACAACACATTATCTAGACTATCCGTTTTCAATATTTTCATATGTTTACGTATCTGCTTGATTTTAACCATTTTTGGAGTTTAAAATTTGATAATTAGATATGAAAATAGATTTTAAGATAATCCTAATGGCTTTCTACATCGACATTACACATTATGATAAAATTTAGAGGGAGGTGCGCCTTGATTGGATTGTTTAAGGTTGCAACCTTATAGAAACCACACCCATAAAGTTAATTAGTGACTTTGCATTTATTAGAGAGAAGTTGTATGCATCAAGTTGTACTCAAGTACAAACAAGATGAGATGTGATAATGTTGGGGCATATATTCCTTTATGATTTTATATATACTTTCAAAGTGTACAACACAGTTATGACACTCTTGTTTAGGTATGTACAATTTTCACTTTCAAGTATCATGCACTCAAATAATACATATATAGAGGAAAACAAAGCAGAAAACATTAAGAGGAGAAAAGGGAAAAATTTTCATGTCTAGCCTAAACGGCTGGAGTCTCCTAAAGGTAGAACAGTAATTCATAACCCGCCTTAGTTAACTGGTTCACTATGCACAAGAGAAACAAACAACACATCTAAAATTGTGAATACTATCTTCTGGAAGTTGAGCCATTCTCCAAGGGGCCTTATTTAGTGAATCATCTTCAACTAACAAGTCCTTCAAAATCAGAAAATTGTGGACAACCAGTCAAGAAGGTGATCTCTTACGATAAGTTAATTAACAAATCCTGGCAAAGCCAAAAAACATCTGACACTATATCTAGGTAGTATGTAAAAATACTACCACCCCTACTAGAATATAAGATCGTGAATTGATCCGAAACTTATAAAAATTACACTTTAGAGTAGTATTATCAGAATTTAGAATTGGACCAACACCAAACAAGTTAGTGATCTGGTCCAAACATAACAGGTCTGACCAACAATTGGACCAAACTTGTTTAAAAATAAATATAAGTATGAATATATTACAAGTTTCCCAACCTTGTTTAGTTAGGCCGACGTGTCAAAACAAACAGGTTTATCTGACCAGTCAAATATTAGTTTTGAGCAGTTTTTTTATCAAACTCGATTTTTTATATGAACTAGAACGGCCAAGACACTAGTCGTCCATCCGGCTGATTGGACCAATCGATCTTGTCTTGTCATGATAACATTACTTTAGAGCATTGTTATCAAAGATCGAATTGAACTAACCACAGTCCAATTGCTCGGATTGCAACTGGGGTCTTAGCTAGTCTGGTCCAAAGCAACAATTGGGTTGCATCATTAACTGGTGAAACCAATGGTCAACTAGTTTTGGCCTGTTAGACTGGCTAAACAAGTTTGGTTGACTTTATTTTATGTATTTCATATAATTAAACTATTATTCCTATTTGTTATTTACCTTCGTGTCCAACATGTTAGACTAGTGATCGGTTCAGTTTTATTTAGACCAAACCCCTAACCAGTTTAGTAGCCAGTCAAATTCTGATATCACTTATTTAATATACTAATCAAGGAGGTATCAAGTAACACTTGGTCTAAGATTGTGTGCTCATTAGCACCATATATTACCAAATCTTGAACCTTATGAATTCTTCTAAGGCCAAATCCTAGTTTATAGTGTGGTTTTGCCTGACGGCCCAACCGATTGGACTAGGCACTCCAGTATTGAGTTTATAAAACTCATTTAAAAGTGGTCTCCAATACCTTACGGTTGTACATTTCATGCATCACACTCTGGTCTTCGAAGTGCTCTCTAAAACTGGATGTGGAAGACTTTATCTGGATCGAGTTAATTGATAAAAGAACTTGGTTGAGCAATTTATCAAATACCATTAATGTACCTAAACATGAGGCCGATCTAATAAATTTCTCAGATAAAAGAGCATAGAGTTTGGTTTTGTTGCAAATAGTAATTCCCGTTCCAAATATTTAAGTTAACACTTTATCACCTAGAGGAAGCAAAAAAATAATTTTACTATTTGAAGTCCATTGCCGGTGAATAATTTTCAGTGAATAATTTATGCAGAGAAGCCAATAGCTGCAGTAGTTGAATTTGATGCTCATTTACAGATCTTGGAGTTGCTTGACAATGTATGTTGATGTAATGGCATTCTAGGAAATTTCTTTTAGAGTCCCTTTTTTATTTTTTTCTCCTTATTGTTGGATCATTGAATCTGAATGATTACTTTCTTAAATGTTTTCGGGGGAAGAAATTAAGTTGGAATTTAATTCCATAGGTTGCATCATCCTTGGATTCATCTTGTATAAGTTAACACCAACTTGTCCCTTAGGTTCCCCCCTTCATGCATGGTTTTTTTGTGTTTCTAGGATGGTATTTGCATTCTCAACCATAATGTAAAAGCATTTACAAAACTAACTTATATCTGTATTCTATCATATCAGGCTATTTTTACTGCTGGCTACAAGGCAGTATTGCACATTCATTCAATTGTGGAGGAGTGTGAAATTAGTGACTTCTACAACCAAATTGATCTCAAAACAAGGAGGCCGATGAATGGGAAAGTTCTTTTCTTGAAAAATGGTGTGATTGTGGCCCATCGTATTCCAGTATACTCCATTGAGCGTCTTTCAAACTTTTTGTATTTTATGTTCTAGGATTTACTTACTAATTTATCCTTGCTAGTTAATTCAAGTGGAAAGATTGAAAAGGGTAAGGGGTAGACCCAAAAGGGCGTAATTGGGAGTAGTTCGAAAAGATATAGGGACTTATGGCCTCACTGAGGGTATGACCTTAAATAGAGCAAAATAGCAGACCAGGATTCGTGTAGCCGATCCCAATTAATTAAAAAAAAGCTATGATGATGATGATGGTATGCTACCTAAATGAACAGGTTGATATGTGTCAAAAAATTTTCTGATATTCCTCAGCTTGGAAGGTTTACACTTCGCTCTGAAGGTAGGTCACATTAAATAATAAGTCTTCTGATGAGTGAGCTCCATAATTACTGCTTTTGAGGCTACTTAGTTTCTCTGTTCATAGGAAAAACAGTGGCAGTAGGGAAAGTTACTGGTGTTTAAACATAAGGAACGTGCCCGATCTTTGGAGTTTTAAGCTTTAACCAATAAGAAACCTAATTACTTGACCCTTATATGTTGTTTCATGTTTTTTTTTTTTTTGGAGCTATTTTTGGACTTCTTGTGCTTTTGAGGCAGCAACCCAGCAAAGAAAAGTTGGGCAGGCCGCACGGCTATTTGAACCAAAAAAGTTTCAAAAAAACATTTCCCTGGATTTCTTCACTGAACTAAACAATTATATATGGGTGCGGTTTCTATAAGGTTGCAACCTTAAACAATCTAATTAACGCACACCTTAAAATTTTATCATAACATGTAATTTTGTTGTAAAAAACTCTTAGTAATATCTTAAAATCTATGTCCATGCATAATTAGAAAATTTTAATTTTCAAAAATAGTTAAAATTAAGTAGATCTATAAATATATGAAAATCTTGAAAATGGATGGTCTAGATAATGTGTTGCAAAATGCACTATTTTCGGGACTCAAAAACTTTTTTTCATATTCATACATCTCGATGCCGAGATGATCGATTAAAGTGTTTTTTCAATATTAAAACAACATTTCCGATAGATTTTTTAGGCGTATATGTGATTCTACATTTTAAGGTTGCA